TTCTTACCTTTCATAACTATTGCAAACTTTTCTGTGTTTCTGTCAATGCCTGAAATTGAAAAGCCTCTTTAAGCTTTAAGAAAATTACATCATCACTTCTATTCATCCAATGTAGCAGAGCATTTTCCCAATTTCTCTCAGCTACACTAAACTTAAATGCATTAACTAATTTTCAGAGTAGCAACTCTGTGTGTAAGCTCATACTCCAGCACTTTAGCTAAAGTAATATTTGAACAGCAGGACCTGCACTTTGAATTTAACTCAAGTTATGATAAGCGAGCTGCTTGTCCACCGCTGGTTATACATTATGGTATATTGCTGAACATAAATCCTGAACAGTGGTGTGTTTTTAAAGTCCTCCCACTGTTGTTTCCAATGTTGAAACTAAATCAATGTTTAACATTCAGCCCCAAGAAATCAGCTAAAAATGTTATTAGAGTGAAGTTAGCAGCGATAACTCCCCACACAGACTCTGACCTTTAAAGATTTGTTTTAATTAAAACTATTTCAAGCTTTGTTTGCCTTCAATACAAGGTGTAAACTGCATGTTTGTTTGTGTTTGAGACTAATACCTCGTAAAATAAAATTCCTCTCTAGTGTTTTGCCTGGTTCTGCTGGAGGTTTCTTCGTGTTCAAAGGGAGTTTTTCCTTTCCACTGTCGCTAAAAGCATGCTTAGTGTGAGGGATTGCTGAAGCATCACTGAGTGATGCAATCAGCTGGTTTTCCTTAGATAGTAAACTTTGAATCAATCTAACTGGATGATCTGGTGAACTGAAAAGAACCTTGAGATGACATGATGTGATTTGGAGCTATAGAAATAAACTGAATTGAATTAAATATTACTTGCCATAAAGCTTTTTCTGTGTCTGACTTCATTAAAGCTCCTTTTTAATGTCAAAATGATCTAATCTACTCATAAAACTATTTTATTTTTAGTAAGTATTATTCAGATCAACAAGTAAAGCACTGATTGGTATTTCTATTACTTTATAAGACCTCCATTGTAATTAGGTTTCTAGTTTGTAGTTAAAACACAAGCGTCAAAAATAAAACATGATCTTTTTTTATAAACCTCGTTACAGGCAGCTGGGCATAAACTCGATCTGCATGAATGTCTGCTCTACTTTCTGTAAACTCAGTAAAGATAAAATTAGAAGTTTGGGGGTTAAAACCAGGTTAATGATCCCAGAAGGAGCAGAAGCTGCTTCCTGCTTTCATTCACTTCCTCGGGAATTTGCACGTCAGCAGGAAACACGTTTGCTTAAAACAATCAATAGATATTTACATTTCTATCACCAATAAAGCCCCTTACTTGTGTGTTGTCTCAGAGCTGGACTGAAGCTGGAAGATAAGGAGCAGTTTTCACCGCGCAGCAGAAAAGATTAGCAAGGTGGGAGGGACCGGAAGTTATAAACAGCAAATACATTCTTCTTCTTCTTCGTCTTTGCTATTGTGGCGGATCGCAAGCATATCGCCACCTACTGTACATGAGTGTGTAGCAACATTACCGTACATTAAAAAAAATCTATTTTTTTATTTTGTATTCTGTAGATAAATAAATAATGATTTCCCCAATCTTTAAATATCTTTTATATTTATATTTCCCAATATTCCTTTAAGACTCCATTCTTCTTAATTTCTCCCTTTCATGTTCATAAGTTTTACAGTTCATCAGTACCTGTTCTACATTTTCTTTTTCTCCACATTCTTCACATTTATCATTATTTTTCCTCCCTATTAAATATAAATTGTACACAATACATTCCCGGAGTAGAGAGTATTTATAATTTTTATTTTAAACTTAGTGAGCAAGAAAACGCTAGACCTGTATGCAAGACTGCTTGAAAAATGAGATCAGTATAACTTCACATGATGCTCCACATTGCGACTTTACTCTCATAATTTTACAACTTTATTCTCATATTTTTATAACTATAAAAACTAGATATATTTTTTTATTTTAGGAATAATGTCATAACAATACGAGAATAAATTCGTAGTACTGCGAGAATGAAATCATCATCATAGCACAATCGGCATCTGACGGTGTTGCGCCAAAGTAGTGTCGACCATAGATATCCATAATAATAATAATATTTATGGATATCTATGGTGTCGACCGCTCCAAGATGGCGCCACCAAATCTCGTCAGCGCCCAGAGACGCAGCTGACTGGTAGACTGCGGTCTGGAGGCTAGCTGCACTGCGCAGGTGTACTGCGCACACCCGGAAAAACAAAAGCAAATCCAGCAAAGCATGGATAGAAGGATAAGCCCCGTTTCTCGATCGGTTAGTGCGTTTATTCACGTAAACTCAACAGGTTCAGTTTTATTTTTCAACAATTTCCCTTAGTAATGACAATTTCTCTGTAAACACCGTAATCTGTGATGTTTTTTATTTCAAGTCTTATATGGGTCTTTCCCACACCAAATATAGTATGTATGTGCTCTAAATAAAGTTTTCCAAATAAAACCAATCTGATCATTTACCTTTTCTACTTAGCTCTAGACTTAGATTTATTTGTCATTTTGTTTACACAAGTGTAAAACAAAAACAAATTTCGTTTGAAACAAATCTAACATCTATTTTAACTAAAGTGGAAATATTAGATCTAGGGCGAGCAGTTGTCTCCAGGGATCATCTAATGATTTAATACATGTAATCTTAGTATTAATCCAGCTGTTGTGGAAGGCTTCACAGGTTAGTTGGAATCAGAAGAGTTTGATGAAGGCAAACAGGTTAGAAATGAAGTAAAAGAGAAGCTTAAAAGGCAGTTAGATTAGAAGGCAAACCAACTAAGATCAAGCCTGACTGACACGTTGGAAAAGGAACAACTCAGGAGAGAAACTTGGTGAATTTTACCTTTATTTTTTTTAGATGAAGCCTCTTATCTGCCAGACAGAATGTCAGAGATTATTGAAGTGTTTATAATGAACTTGAAGTTAAAATGTAATTGCTATGTCGTCCCTGACCTGGTTGAAGCCATGACAGGTCGCAGGCGCAGAGCTGGAAGGGCTGCAAGAAAGAGGAGCCAGAAACGTCAAGGTGGCGTCTGCTCAGGTAGAGAAAGCTGTTCCCTCGTTCCTCCGCAGCACTGATCCATCACAGACATACTAACACTCTTCATTTTGTTCTGACCTCTCAGTCTCTCTAGGCCACCAGCCTCAGTACGTGAGGCTGATGAGGTTTCTTCACCGGAGAGGATTCTCCCAAACACTCCTGCAGCCGGCTCTGTTCTCTGGTACCGCTCTGCTCTGCTGCCTTTGACATATTGGCATTAGGAAAAGTCAGATCAGCTGTTTCCAGGGTGTCCTCAGATCTCAGGAGAAATACTGAAGACATCAGACCAAATGATCCCAGATGCCACACATAGAAAAATGCATTTTATTATATTCTAAAACTTCAGTCAGGCTCTTCAGCCTGATTCCATCAGGAAGGAGGCTGAGAAACCATCACCCACCTGCCTCCCTATTAACTGTCATCTCCAGGAGTCTTTGGCCCATTCTGTCTATGAAATCAGTGCACTTTATAAATACTCAGGGACTCCAGAAACCACTTTTTTTTAACCCATTCACTTTTTCTTCATGGTCTGATGTCTAAGGATATTTTCCTGAAACCAGGGGATGTCTTATAATCTACAGAGCTCAGCTGCTTTATCATCAATGAGGTTTTCAGTAGAGATTATTTCTGCACCATTTCAGGATGCATCATTCAACATATTTGTATTTAGCTTGTGATGGAATTGAAGAAAATAGGAATAGTCTTTATTGTCCCCCAGTGGAGAAGTTCATATCTAAGCAGCATGTTAATGGGAGCATTTAGATTCACACAAAGAGGTAAAATACACTGTGTCGTAATCTGTCTTATTCTCCAGACACAGGCAGAGGACTGCGGACGCTTCAGACTATCAAGGTAACTTTAGACTAGTTGATAAAAATCTGTTTAGAATAATTGTGAATCAAACTTCTTTACTTTCCTGAAGGTTTTTCTGTTTTTTAATCTAAATGTAAAAACAGAGAAGAAATAATGTGGACAAATTCAGAAACATTTCTGTCTCCATGTTGAGCAGCCAGGCCAGCTGCTTGTTTCTCTCCCAGAATCCTGCCTCCTCACAACATCCACCGTTTTGAGCAGCTACCTGGGGCCGTTTATCAAGAGGTAAAGGAACAGTTAAGGGGGCAGATTTCTCTGAAATTGCCTCTTTTTTTATGAGGGAAGGATTTCATCAGCATGTTGAATCTGTGTCTCGTCTGCAGCTCCAAGCCCCACCTTTCTCCTCTTTTGGCGCTCTGCGTCTTCCTGGTGTGCGAGCGCCATCGTGGGGAGGCCTCTGATTGGTTCCCCTACATCGACGTGTTGCCCCACTCTTACACCTGCCCCGTTTATTTCTATGATGACGTCCTGGATGTCCTACCAGCTGCCCTGAGGAGGCGGGCCTTAGAGCAGAGGGAGGCGGTGCGGGACCTGCACTCCTCCAATCAGGATTTCTTCAGGTCAGCTGAGCCGCCGTTATTCCTAAATTAGACATTTACTTTATTTGAATGAATAAATGAAGATGCCTCTATTAATGACAGTATAATTCATACCTTAAACTGATTGATTCAACAAACAAATAAACAGGCAACTGCTGTGAAAAGGATCAGATTTAAGGACTTAAAGAAGGAACCAAAGTGCAGAGAGAATCCTGCAGGAGGTGGAGCATCTGAATATGATCCAATAAAATCATTATTTCTTTCCTAAACATCAGGGATTATAATTTAATGTACTCAGAGAAGTTATGTGTTGATTTAAAGATGTTTCAGTTATTTTTATATCTTAAAAGAAATCACACAAGCATAAGAGGTATGTTTGTTTTGTTAATTAAGAAAATCTAATAATATAATGAGATTAAAGTCATAATGTTAGGTCTATGGGATTAAATTAACGAGATTTAATTAATAATTTATTCAAATAAAGGTTTGATTTAGGCCTAAAAGATTTAAATAGTAAAAAAAAAATATGAGATTAAAGTTCTGAGCTTTAAAGGCGGACAATTACGAGATTATTAACAAAATTAGTAGTCCTAATTTTAGGCCTAGGTGATTAAAGTTGTAAAATTGTGAGATCATAGTTGAAATATTACCAGAATAAAGTCATAAAGTTACAATAAAAAGGCATACTATTAAGTCTATGAAAAAAAAAATGTAACATAATGAGATGAGTTGTAATAAAACCAGAATAAAGTCGGACATGACGAGATTAAAGAACAATTATTGGAATTAGCATTCAAGTCCTAAAATTATGAGATTAAGCTTATAATATTACCAAATTAAAGTCATACTATTATGTCTATTATAATAAATTTATAATATTACTAAAATAAAGTCCTGCCATTAAATGGATTCAATTTTAACTTTACAAGAATAAAGTTGTAATATAACGAGAATAAAGTCAAAATATTCAGAGATTAAGAAAAATCCTACTTCAATGTAAACTCCTCAGAAAAAGTCATCTTTCCCCTCAAGGAAACGGCTGCAGTTTGGGTTTAGCTGATTAATCTATCCAAGCTTTCAGCTTATTGAAATCAACTTATTTTTTTCTTATAATGTTATTGGCTCTAATATTATTATGACTTCATTCTCATAATCGTATGTCTTTATGGTTGCAGTAAAAAACCTTCATCTTATGAGGTAAACACCTGATCAGTCCTGCGTAAAAACTGATATTTACTAAATGTAATGAGCTAATAAGCAGCATTAGGATGATTGTATCTAAGAGGATTATGACTGTGATGAGAATAGTGATTCTGGTTAAAGGCAGAATTGAACTGTTTTATAGAACGAATCAGATGAGGTTTAAAGCTCTGCCCCCTATAGGAGGACAAAGAAGCTGAGCTGCATTCAGACAGAAAGTGCCACACAGTGAGGCATGGTGGAGGCAGCATCATGCTGAGGGGTGACGTTTGAAAGCAGCATAAGGGGGAAAACTAATCTGGTAGAGAGAGACCTATGGCAAGAAAATCAAAGCAATATTACGTTCCTTTATCACATCAAACCAAAAACAGTAAAAGTGTTTTTGCATCAGTCCAGCTGAAGCTGTTTGTTTGATGGGTCCAGGACTCTGCGTCCGGTTCTCCGCCGTCCCACAGAAGACGTGTTCACATACGAGGCGCTCAGGTAGAGAAACGAGCAGACCTTCAGCAAACCTCTCTTTTGCTGCAGCCCCTACATAACGCCCCCCCTCCTCCCCCTCCTCAGGTGGGCGTGGTGCAGCGTGAACACGCGCTCCGTCTTCATGTCCCGCCCGGCCAGCAGCTTCCTGTCAGGACCAGACGATCACGCTTTGGCCCCTTTCCTGGACCTGCTGAACCATCGTCCGGACCTGCAGGTAAGGCGGAGTGTTCAGTCTGAGCTGTAGCTGCTGCTTTAGCTCCCAGCTTCAACCTCTCCCACCAGGTCACAGCAGGTTTTAACCAGCTGACGAAGCGCTATGAGATCCGGAGCGTGTGCGGGACACAGCGCTACCAGCAGGCCTTCATTAACTACGGTTCCCATGACAACCAGCGCCTGCTGTTGGAGTACGGATTCGTGGCGGCAAACAATCCTCACAGCGTCGTCTACGTGGAAACTGGTAACTCAAAGTCTCTGATGGAGTGTTTTTTTTTTTAAGTCTTTAATTGATTTTCATCTTTTATCTTTTCCCCATAATTCCTCAGATCTTCTGTGTGACGTTTTAAGAGGCGATAAGAGTTTGGATCAGAAGATGAAGTTTCTCAGGGAGAATCAGTTCCTTCAGTACGTTTGTTGCCATGTTTCTCCTTTCTCTTCTTAACTAAAGGGATTGTGGAGGAGTTTCGCAAATGTTTTCTCCACTTTAAAAAAAACGCACATGAACGACCCTGTACCCGCTCCCGAGAGGGAACGCCTATTAAACACGTGCGAGTGTGTGCACGAGCCCATTTCTCCTCGTGCACGCTCTGTTTATAAAATGCTGTTCTCATGATGTAAGCTTACTCTGTCCGAACGTCCGCCCTATATCCCTCCATCACTACATACAGCGGGGGCTATATAGTGGACGTTACAGCAAACTGACCGTTCAGACAGATGATCACTGCTTTTTGCTTTCCCTCAGTCACATATCTCCTTCTCCACTTCGCGGGGGCTGCTCTCCGTGCAAAGCATTCTGGGATATATCTGCCTCTTCTGAGGACTTTCTTTTCTTCTGCTAGACTTAGTAGACACTTTCTCTTACGACCTTCGGCCATTTTCAAAGAACCACAGTGAGAAAGGTGAGCTTCAACGACTGTCTGAAACCGTAGCTCACCACAGATATATGCCTGAAAGAAAAAGATAGCTAACGTCACGTAGGACGGCCTTACGTAAACATATCACCAGAATGATTGACAGTTAGGGGGGCCACTGATTTTGATGATCCACCGGGAAATAAAAGGTCGTCCTCTATACCTTTAAGGTTTAAATGTTTTATTGTTGCTTTAATTAAATATGTATCCTGTAGCCTGGATGTCGTAACTGAGAGAAAGTTGCGCTAAATAACAGCTCTAATCAAATAAATCTTAGACTTTTTATTTAGTTTCCCTTCAGGATAAGAAAAATATATTTGAACTGAATGAAGTTTAGTCCTGAACTCACCAGTCTGTCTAACAGAGGCAGTTGGATGGATTTAAAGAACGACTGGCTTTAGTGATATGAATCATAAAATTGTACAAAACAGTTGTATGAAACACACAATCATGAAAATAAAATACATGCAATAAAATAAAAAAATAAAGTAAAATAATAGCAATACTTGGCCAAGTGCTAATTCTCAGCTCTAGATATCTTGGGTGCACCCTCTTAATCTGAATTCAAATTTTTAATAAAAAATAGATGGATTAAATTCAGGTCCAATTCAGGTTTGACTCAACATCCTTCACCTGAGGAGAATGTCCACCACAGCGGTCTGTTCTAATGTCCGAAATAAATCTTGTAAAAAAAATAAGGTCTTAAATCCCAGACTTAATCCTGTACTAACCCTAAGGTCACAGGATGGTGAAATACACGTCACACCCTGTGGGTCACAGAATACAGTGGAACGTATCTTTTTACAACAGCGGCCGGTCCTGTTTGTGTTGTAATGTGAAAAGCTGAACAGCGTTCCTGAGTTCAGCAGTTCTGCCAGAATCACTTCCAGCATCAGGATCTGCTGGATCACAGCAGGACGATGAATCCATCCCAGGGGAGTCACAACCTTTTTGAAGGTTGGATTCTCTTCCTTTATTTACATGATCAAATGACACAATGTTAACAAAATATTATGAGAATTTCAATTTTAACAAACCAAGGGGGACTGATGGCCTAGTAGGTTAGAGCGGTGCGCTTCTGCTCTGAGATGGTTGCAAGTACCCGGTTGGACGCCCACAGCCTGGGTTCCTGAGCAAGACCCTTAACCCCACGCTGCTCCCCAGGCGCCGCACAGTGGCAGCCCACTGCTCCCCAAGGGGAGGGGTTAAATGCAGAGGTAAATTTCTCCAGTGTGTGATCAATAAAGTTCTAATATATATATATTGTATTTTAAAAATCATTGCCAAGTAGAAGGAACAGCAATGCATGTGCCTGACTGGACCTCAATGCATTGCTGCTGAAAGTACTAATGAATCAGCCAAATCATGCACACATTAGCTCATACTGACACAAGCAAAAACTCGGCCAGATGATGTCTCTCCATCTCTCGCCTCGATACTTAACATCCCAACCAGTCAGTACCTCACTGGATAAACTGATGCAAATTGAAAGAAAAGTTTAGTTGTTGTTTTTTTGTCCCTTTCTCAGTTTCCCTTTCCTCCATCCGAGCCTCACTTTGCCTTAATCGCCCATTTGTGTCTGAAAAACTTCCATTTAAAGACAGTGGTTCCCATACAGCAAGATGCGCCCCCTGGAGGAGAGGACTGTAACTGCAGGGGTGTTAGTAGAAATTTAAGAACCATTTTCCAAATTCTTTTTCTTTTAATTAAATGTTAGATTCTGGTCCACAGTAAAATAAACAGGTAAGAAACAGAGACACACTTGGTAGGGTTGTGATTCTTAGAAGAGGAGTGATTTCATGGGGCGGGGGGGCTCAGAAAGAAAGGTATGAAAACCAGAGCTGGAAGGATTTTTAGAGAAACTTAGAGATAAATTTTTTTCTCGTCCCTGCAGTAATCTGACGGTGTCCAGCGAAGGGCCCAGTTGGAGGCTGATGGCGGCTCTCAGGCTGTTATCTCTGCCACAAACCTTATAGTAAGACACACTTCCAGTCTTAATCCTCTCCGAACCCCGTTTGTCATCTTTGCCACGTTATGTTTTATTGAAATGGGTTTTTGTTTTGTTTTTTACAGCCACCTCTGGAGGGCAGCCCTGCTCGGTCAGGAGGTGGATGAAAAGATGGAGGCGAGGAGCAACCAGACAGCCAGGACTGTGTGCCAGAAGCTGCTGAACGAATCACTAATGGCTCTGCAAAAGGTGCACAGAAACATAGATGATAGTATTTCCTATAAAAACGGGTCTGAGACGTTTGTCTTTCTGCGTACGCTCAGATCGCCCAGCTTCTCGCTCACTGCGGGCAGCCAATCAGGGAGCAGCTGGAGGTGGCGAGAGCGTTACGGCAGGAGGAGAGGTGGATCCTGGAGAAATGTTTGACGGCGTTGAAGGACTCGGTACGTCCAGAAGATGAGACGTCCTCCAGTGAAGCAAAGATGGGAGCAGAGAGCTGCTGAGAAGACTTCCTGCAGCCGAGGCTTCCTGCTCCAGCTGCAGTTCACAGACTTTCTCAAAGTGCCTTGCAAAAGTATTCACACCCTTTGAAGATTTTTTATCAGACTCACTGTGTTTTAGCAGGGTTTTATCTAGCAACAGTGTCCATGAAGATGGAAGTAGATGAGTTTTAGATTTTTTTTATAAATGTTTGCAAAATAAATTTATTTTTTTTAATGTTTTTCATTATATTCAACTTCTTTTCCCTCTGATGCCCCAAACAGAGATATAAAAAAAAAATGGTGCAACCAAATACTCCTAAAGGCTATTAAGCCAACCTATGGAGTGACTATAGTTCATTTGTCTGTAAGTGAAACTCAGCAGAAATCCAGCTGGTCTGGGACGACTTCAGTGGAAAAGGAACGCATCAGAGGGAAAACTCGGCTTCTGAGCCATCTAAATACCACCATCAACTTAAACTGAAGCTTAGAGCAAAGAGAAGCAGCCTAACTGGCTGTGGTGGCTCTGGAGGGGCTGCAGAGATCCTCTGTCCAGTTGCCCTTTGCAGCAAACAACAGGGGGCGCTCTAACCAAACATAACCTTCTTTCTGGTCTGCACGCACTCCTTATGAATGAAAAATTATCAATCCCAGCACTGAGGCATGGTGGTGGCAGCATAATGCTGTGAGTGTAGAGAGGCTGTTCAGAACTGAAAGAGAAAATGGAGCCAAATACAGAGCAGTACTAGAGCAATATCTGTTAGAGGCTGCAGGAGACTTTAAGATGGGTGACCAGCTGTGAGCGTGCAGCCAGGGCTGTACGGTGGCCTAAAGTCCAGAACTAAACTGAAGTGAGAATCCAAAGCTGGCCTAATCCACATTCACAGACGCTCTACGTTTCATCCTGAGTTTGAGCTAAAACCTTCTGGCAGACATGAACAGATCTGTAGATCCTGTTTTAATGCATGTTTACAAGAATAGTTTTAGTAAGAAACCTGATTAACATGCTTTTATTTTAATACAATAGCTGAGACTCCAGTGTTTGATTATATTTTGACCAGTGGCGGCTCTAAACCTAACTTAGAAGGGCCCGGGTGAGGCCAGGGATTTTTCATATGGGCAGAAAACTAAGAATGAGCCTCAAGCATCACTAAGACAGTGAACCATTTCAGAATTCTGTTTCCTTCAAATGTACCGTTTGCCATGCAGTATCCAGGAACGCTAATGCTATCTGTTAGCTAACATTTTTTAAACATTCATTTCTATACGTGTCGTTTATTTTTCTGGTAACATTTCTAATTTTTTCCTGCTCCATTTTCTATAGATGTATTGTTTTTGAAAAATTGATAAATGTGAATAAAAACAATGTAGCTCTGACCTTTAATATATATATATATATATATATATATAAGACTCATATTTTCTGAAACCAATTAATAATTAAATTTAACTAATATTTTCTGATTATTCAAGAAAATAAAAGAGGTGACTAATAACAATGAAAATGAACAATTATAATTTATCTTTAACATTTTATAGCTGCAGCAGTTTTCCATCCATTTTTTTCCCCAAGTATTTATTCACAACGGGCTGCTCAGTGTAGTGGTGGGTAGCGCTGCTGCCTTGCAGCAAGGTTCCAGGATCAACTCCTGGCCCAGGGTCTTTCTGCATGGAGTTTGCATGTTCTCCCCAAGCATGCATGGGTTCTCTCCGGGTACTCCGGCTTCCTCCCACAGTCCAAATACATGACTGTTAGGTTAATTGGCTTCTCTAAATCCTCCATAGGAGTGTGTGTGAATGGTTGTTTGTCTCTGTGTTGCCCTGCGATGGACTGGCGACCTGTCCAGGGTTTACCCCGCCTCTCGCCCACTGACATCCTCAGATGGATTATTATTTATTTACACCCATCAGTGGATAGAAAAGCCTTTACTGACATGGTAATGAAGCTTACCAGGGCTGGTTATTATTACCTTAAACATTTTTAGGATGATGCAATGACTACAGAACTGTAATTTGAAAAAAAGATATGGAAAAGATTAACAGTTATTGTAACTATTGATTAACAAAACAGTAACTTATAGTTTCAACAGTTGCCTTTATGACGTCAACTTAAACCTTTTAGTCATCTGATAAAGGCTTGATAAGACAAATTACACAGAGAACCTCTAAAACTGCCTTACAATACTGTGACAATCAGAACTTAATTAAAATGTAAACTAAAATGTTGAAATCATCAAAGGAAATAAAACATTTAAGACAATATGAAGAAACATTTATATTACATACATTTATAACTGATGGGGCTATAAGAGGAAAATCCATCTGAGTCTTTATACAAAAACCTAAAGCAAATAAAATAAAGACATTTTCATTCTGGGTATATTATAAGGCTTCTGTTGGTAGAAATTAAAGTTTTGTATAAACTCTCAAACTGAAAGCAATAAAATCCTGACAGACAAAAGCTTGTTTTTATACTCTGCTATTCAGCCACATATTTTATTAAATCAGAAGCACACAGGAGATGTTGAGAGAGCAGAGAGCTGCTGAACGCACCACCAGGGCAGAGCGAGATGCACGAGCACGGCTGGCAGCGAAGAGTCTAAGGCAAAGCTGACACGTATTGAACAAGCGTGTGGGAAATTTAAACATGCCTACTTTTCTTATTGCACACTCAGATTGGAAACTTTGTGCTGAAGTTGGTGGAAGCAGCAGGTCTTCCATAAATCCTTCACTGGAGCGTTGCAGCTTCCTTTAGTGAGCTGGTCTTTTCTCAGCACTTTGTTCTAGGATGAAGTTAATTCTCTGTTTCAGGGGTAGAAATGTTAGCAGCAGCTAAACCCTTCTTTGAACTTTGAAGCTTTATTGTTCTCAAACAAATGGTTTTTATGATCGCTCTTCCTAAGCATTACAAAATGTAAACAAACTGTAAAATGGGATTTTTGGTCTTTAAAAACACACTTTGTATCTCGTTTAATGAGAATTAATAGTTTGGATTGACTGCAGCTCCTAAGGAGAAATAATGGAAACACAAACAGCCTTATTTTTCTAACCGATATTCTGATTAATCCTTCCTGGATTCTGTGCTCAACTGTTTAAAAAAACATTTAATGAGGAACGTTTAACATTAGAACTGCCATTAATTCCATTTGGAGAAAAAATGGGAATGCTTTTAATCAACTTCATTTGACTTCCAGAAAACATCTGGTCCCACAGATCTACGATCTATTAAAGCTGAACAACAGCCTTTTTCCTGTGATGGCGCTGGACGGTTTCCATAGCGACTGTGGCTTCATAGAGAGGAACAGCTTCTTCTGTCTGAGGTCTGCAGAGAATAAGAACCATTATGAGTTTCCTGCTCTGACTTTTTTTAGTTAATAATAAAAAAAACGTGTTGAAAGTCACCTGAGAACTCCAGCCGACATCTTCTCCACAATGTCCTTCAGGATATCTGACCAACATGTTAAAGAGTAAAACTGCAGAAACCATTACATTGATCAAAGTCCTTCATTTGGGGCCTTTAAAGATGAAACAGCCTTTTTTTTTCTTCAGGGGAGAAAAGTTTCATCAGTGCAATGAGTTGGTTTTTCTTCCACTGACAGAATTAAATATTTGCACACCTCCTCTGAAATTTGGCTCCACTGCAAAGAATTAAAATCCAAGTGAGCGTTTTTTTCTTAAATTGAGAGCATTTTTTTTTTCTTGAGACACTTTGCTAATGAAATAAGACATTAAGAAGTCACATTTAAAACAAGAAAAAACAACTAGTCTCTTATTCTAAGTGCATAGTATCTAATTATCTTATTTTAAAGTTAAAATTACTCCTTCCGTTGACATACCATCTTATTCACCAGCTCAAATTAAGGGTAAACACACTCATTTTAACTAATGTTGACATTATTTTTTTTATCAAATCTCTTTTGCCGGATGCTGCCGGTTTGATTCTGAATGAATAGTTTGAATGATTAAACTATTTTTCCCTTTCATGAACCTCTCTAGCAGACAAACTATCAGTGGGATCAAGCTTAAAGCCTTTTAAAAAGTGACTAATTAGCTGTATTAAAAAAATCCAAACAAGCCCAAAAGTTCTTCTGTTTAGGATCATTTTCCTGTTTGAAAAACCGATTTGTCCTCAAATAGATAATCACAGGAAGTAAAATCTATATTTGTTTTTTTCCACCTACTTTGTGCAAAGCAGCTCTTCTGGCTGTATTCACCAAAGTTTAAGAAGTTAAAAACAATCCACTGGACTTTGTTTTTAAGTTTGAAGATGTTTTGCTTCCCATCCAGGAAATTTCTCAATTCAAAATGTCTGAATTAGCGTTGAGTTCCAAGCTTTATAGAGTGGACCAACAAAGCAGACTGGTTATGGCTTAAAAAACAACTAAATTCACCACATATCTCATCAATGCAGCTGACTCCATGTGGTTTATCTTTTAATGTGAACTAAAGCCAGTCGTTGTGTAATCCCTCTGCCCATGGACCAAGTTTTGATTTCAGAGGTGGAGGGGACGCAAGTCTTTTTTAATAGAACTAACTTTTTAATATAACTAACATCCATTAAAAAACCCAATTCAGCATCAGATGTTAGTAAAGTGAGCTTCTCAGGAGTGACAGCAGTGAGAGCCAATCACACAAGAGAAGACGGCGGGCCAATCAGGAGCTTATGGGCGGTGTAAACTGAGGGTAGCGCGCTTTAGTTTGAGCTGTGGTTTTCCGCTCGGTCCTAGTGCTCGTAGAAAGTCTGTGTACTGTAGCGTGAAATTGTTCTTTGGACAGTAAAACCTGCAGGGGACCGAACGGACGCTTGAAAAAGTGCATGGGGACATGTATCCCCCCCTCAAATTATGTCCATGCCTCTGCAGAGTTAAAAAGTTGGTTTAAACGAATCATTAAAGCCCAGAATGGATGTGAACTTCCTGCAGCTTAGATTAGGTGAAGGATACGGAGGTATCGCCCTTGCTGCGCTGCTGAAGCAGTCCAGACCTCTGGGTTGAGGAAAGACACAGAGGCTGATTTCAGATGCAGTAACCTGCAGTCTGGAGGGTCCAGCTGCAGACAGAACCAACAGAACGTCACTGGAACCGGTCCTTAGAACCTGAACAGAGCCTAAACAGGAACCGGCCTCACCTGCAGGTTCTTATGGGATGTGACCCAGTGGCCGACCACCCCCAGCACACTGATGATGTCATGCTTGTGAGGGAGAAGTTTCCTCTCCTCACCCTCTTCCTCATCTTCATGCAGACGGACTTAAAGGGCAAAAGGGGCGGAGCTTAGCTATTAAATCCTTAGATGTTAGACCCATTCATGCTTCTCCTGCAATGCTTTGCTTTTCATTTGTTTTACCTTCAGAATCCACGACTATATCCACTCCCAGACCCCCCGTCTCCTCCAGGACCACGGATAGCAGGTCAGATCCGCTATGCACCGGGATAACTCTGGCTTCAAGAACAGAAAGACAACCACAGCATTAAGTAAACCACTGTGCCTGATTTTACAACTCAATCCATTTTTCAGTTCCACATATACATTTTGGCATCAACATAAATGTTGACCTGCAAACCTTTGTATCAGTTTTTTCTAAATTATTGTCATATCATAGGGAAGATTTATAGGAAATGTTAACAAAAAAAACACCCAAATATTAACCAAACAAATACAATAGATCTAAAGCTTCTAAAAGAGAAACCGAGGGGAGTAAAAGACTGATGCAGAGTTTTATTGTGGCTCCTTCAAACCTCTGGGTTTATGGCAGCAATTTTATTCCATTATTGTTAAAGCAATATATACATACATAGTGTTGCTTGAAAGTTTACATACCCATCCATTAAAGATATAAAAAATTAGATGCCAGTAAAATAAATTAGTTAAAAAAGGAACATTTCAAAAACAAAATAAAGTAAACTGTAAAATGTATATTTCCTTTGCATGTGGCAGAAATCGGTCTGTG